TAAATAACCTTTTGGAGAACATACGAGTTTTCACTAGATTTTTCGAGTCTATGTTATTCTGCCGAGCCTTATTCGGTTGCGCATTACTGCATTCTTTTGAGCTTAAAATTCGTTTCCACTTCAGACACTATTTTTTATTCTGATTACATTTTTTCTCAAATTCGTATCGCAGAGACTTCTCGTATCATGCACGAAAACCATTCGTTTAAGCCTTTTGTTAGTTACGGAAAACAGAATTAGACATTTGAATGTTACCAGACAAAGGATCTGCTGAGCACTTCGGCTGTCACGATGGAATAGCCTCAAAAAACAAAGTGGTAGAAATGTTTAAACATTAAGATTAAGTATTTGTGATAGTGTTGGAATGCGGACTTAATTTCGCCATTAGTTTTCGATCGTATTCATTCGTATTTGTTCGAGAAAAGGAAAATAATGCGTTCTAATTCATCAGCATTGCAGACTAGCGTTCGTTTGAGACCTGCATAACGTGACATCAAGCACTTTCGTCTAGCAATGAAAAAAGTTCTGAAATTGTCGAGTTTTATTTACTTTTGCTCTTAACGAACGATTCAACAAGCGATTAATGGTCGTTTCATGTTATTAGTGCCATTTATTGAATTTCTTTATTCTATTTATNTTTTTGCAGCCGAATCGAATGATATTGCCAGTTGATGAACAAACTTAGTGCTATAAGAACTCCCACTAATGTTTCATACTCTGCATATTCATGCTAGTCGGATTATGTTGAGCTATCATGGATAGTACTTCATTAGTTGTTCTCCATGCAGAATAGTCCATCATCCTGGATTCATTACCCAGATTACACTAGTGATATGATTGTGCATCATGGCTTGATCAGTTATGAAACCATCGAATATCTCAGATTCCCAACCCCCCTCATCCTGATTACCAATCAGATTTCATCAACGTTGAGCGAGGAGCACTGATCTATATTGATAGCCTTGTATTCTGGCTTCCTTATCCTTAGCAAACGCTCAATCAGCAATATTTCCGTTTGTGTTTTTCGTTTGCAATCTGTATGCGTTCATGAATGCAATTTCGTGCATAATTCATGGCATTTGCATGCTGTGATCCCTGAAATTTCTTGCCTTCGTATTCTGATAGACCTATGTCCGTGTGATGCACACATAATTTGCATATATCACAAAAATGATCAAGCAATATCACTGAATACGATGTTATTACCTACGAAACNNNACGCTAGCTGCCGTGTTATTTCATTTAGCAGTTATTTTCGAAAGCGATTTGTTTTTGTTCTCAGCGTTGAAGGGCTCATTTTTATTACTCACATAATGATGATAGATTGCCGGACATGGGACGTGATCAGCACATAAGTTGTGTGGTGTTGTGTGCAGGAGAACAGTTGCTTACTTGATGTTTTCTTGGTGTTATTTGTTTGCTCACGATTTTGGGATGTTTGAAATGGACCATTAAACATTCAAATACTCAGCAGTTCAACATCGAGCGTTCAGTGGAAACTTTCGATCAGTTCGTGGAAAATACGATTTGTTTGTTTAGGTTTACTCAGTCTAGTGGTCTGCATGGATTCAACTTCACCGACGCAAAACGATGACGAGTATTTCTTCGGTGAGAATTATCGAAGTTGCGGTGGATGGCTGCATGTTGTTGTGAGTTCTTGACAATCAATCATTTCCATGATCTATTCATGACGTATTCAAGCCATTTAGTATCGATTCCGAGTCTCCACTGAACACTTTTGCATTACACTNGAAAAGGAGTTGAAAAAGTACGAAATTGATTTCAGTGCGCCGCTCGACTGGTGATTGCGTTGGATGTGATAATATGCCTTGTGTTCTTGCTAGTGCTACCGTTGAAGTTCGGTTATTTGGATGCACTTTGCATAGTCCAACTTTGTGTGACAACTATTGTCATTGTGTGTGCACTGATTGACTGCTTTAGAGAAGGACACAGTAATCTGCTATGGCCGTTTATCTCATACAAAGTGAATAGTATTCATTTGTTCGTTAAATCGTTTATTTTCTCCATTGATCTCGAGAGTTACTCTCAAGCGACAACTGAACAAAGTTCAGTGAGCAGGGAATAAGTAGGAGGTAATGGATGAAGTTATGGAAGGATTATGTTGGTTGTAGTTTCCGTTGTAATCAGAGACCGTAGGCGAGTTTAATGGTTTTGGGAGAGATCACACTTCTGAGCTATTGGTGATCCCACCTTAATTTGATGAAATTATCATGTGATTCACTTTGAAGTGCACCTTTGAGTAACGGATGCTATTAATTTATATGAACTAATTGAGTGCTTTGATTAAGAGAATAAAAGCACTCACATCGGGAATTTACTTTCAGTGAATTACGCAAAGCATAAACTTTTGGGGAGTTGAGGAGATTAACTTCAAACTGTACGGAGAATAATCAATGGCTTGAGATCACACAGAATATCATATTGAGTATCACCATTGCTTTCTAAATGAGATGGATTAGTGGTGAGGTGTATTGAGTCATTTTAGAGGAGACCAAAGGCTTGATAAATCGGCATCCATCATTTATTGGATCAAAATCCATTCGTAGAAGATGTTGGTGTGATGGATAGTGCGATATGAACTCCTCAGATAAATTTTCTTCTATTGAACACTTCAGTTAAAACATTCCTCAGTCATGCATTCATTTATCATTTTGATTGATTTATCTTTTTCAGTGTATTGAAGTGATCGCTGCGTCGATAATGCTGATCGTGATTGGTGTTTTGGTTGTTTGCGGCAATACAAGTCGCTCGGCTCTGATTAAATTACTAAGATATCGGTTCAGAAACGTTTCAAGTAAGCATATTTCTATCATATTTCCTTAGAAACACTACACACGAGATGGTGGCACCCGCTCTCAATTGTTTTTTTTTCGGTTTCCGGGAACGTCTAGCATTGAATGAATTAAAAGATAATGATGAATAATCAAGAGCGACAGTAACACCTTAACATTTTTCAAGGAAATATACAATTCATAAGGAATTCCAGCTCATTCTCTCAAATTAGACGATCATGTTCAGTGTAAACATCAACTCAAAAATCCTTCAAATATTTTGGAATTTTAATTGAGCGATAACTTCAAAACTCTTTCATTCTGAAAATTTTGCTAGAAATCAACGTAATGAAATTCAGAAATCAACAAAAATAAACGCCCTGAAGGTAACTGGATTTCAGAATCCAATGAACTCATGTATATATCATTATCTGTGATTGCGCTCTGCGCTCAGTTGGCATTCAGCTGTATTGCCGCACACACGTTCATATCAGTGCATCGATACTTCAACGATAAGGCTATTCGAAAGTATATCGACGAACGAAAGGATCTCATTAAATATTTCCTCTGAATTTATTCGAACTCAAGGGATCTCATGGTCAAGATATCGCCTAACTTATCGTTTTCGGTCGAATCATCAGAATCAAGATTTTCTCCGTTGTCGAACAGAACCTGAATTTAACTCAACCCGCCGACTGGATATTGTCACAGGTCACATTCGCAGATCTTTTCAAGAGGATTCGAAAATTTCGATCGATCGGTTAACTGTAAATCTTCGCGAACATCAAATCGAAACTTCGCTATGATAAGTATGCTTCATGTGTTTGTTTCTGAAATAAACCAAAAATTATCTGTCATTTATTGCATTAGATCATTCGAGCATGTTTTATGATCGCAGTCTGAATTATATTGTTATTGTTGGTCTGAATTATGTTTGAAGAACTACTGCAAGCATGCGCATTGAACAACAGTAATGTGCATGCATATTTGTATGCATATGTCTGACGGCTTTGTGCCATGGAAATTCACAGAAAAATATAATGTGATGAAACGAACGAATCGTGTCAGGCAGCTCATATTTATTCATTGATATCTTCGTATCTGCTCTCCACAGACAAATATCAGAGTCGAACATCAACATGTAATATGTGCTTATTGGGATGATGTCGACATTTTCATCGCATTATCTGTTATACAGTTTTTCTCTAATAATATCGGTTTTTTGAATCAGCACATTGCTGCATTGTGAGATGCATACAGCTGGCCAATGTATTTGTTCGGTGTATGCATAGAGGATGTGTTTTTTGTTTTGGATTAACTGGCTTTCCGTTCAATCGTTAATGTGATATGATCGAGTTTTCTCATGTTTTGTGACATTTTTTAAAAAATTTTCACTGAATATTCATTGACTGTTGATGCCAACGATTAATCGGGAATCTACGAAGAAGATCTGCGCCCAGTTGGAACCTTCAAAATGTCCAGAAAATCGATCCTAGCGCATTGAAAATCCTCGCCAAAAATTGTATCATTTCACTTCACTATGATAGTATGTTTAATGGTCGAATAAACTGGCTAGGTTTATATTTTTGGCTAGAAACTGCTGGAAGCGATCAGACCGAACTCACGAATTCATCCATCACTTCAGCTAGCGGATTTTCTCCCAGAACGAACAGCTCATCTTAGAGGAATCCATTTTGGACGGGCAAATATTCTGGATCAAGCTTCTGTTCAGTTCGAAACCAGCACTTTTCAAATACTTCATTGCGGAGAGTACAATATGCTGTGATTATTTCGATCGTTCTCTCTTTCGAATGATTAATATTCATGAATAAAATTATTTTGTTTATGAGATTTATTTCAGAATTTCACATAATTTTTATCGTCATCATTCACTGCATCCCATTCATTCGATTTCAGTCATATTCCCCTATTCAAAGTCATCATGTCTTTCTCCCGTTTTGATCACACCAAGTGAATACTTGCCCAACTACGTTCTGAAAGTAATTAGAGGTTCCATATTCATCCAAAATCCATCCCATCATAATGAAGAGATCCAAAGCAATGCGACTTATTCAATTCAGAAATCCTGTCAGACTGACTGCGACACATACAACGACATTATTCCTCCTTCGCTCATTTTAGTGGAAGTTGTCGGTCAGTCAGATTTAGCATCGCTCCCATATCCACCACCACTTCACTGTAACAAATCTCCATCTCCTAACTAAATAATTTTATCAATAACGTATGTAATTCCATAAGATGTTCACATCTAACACTCAGTTCTACCTGTCAGTGATAAATTTTCGTCGATTATTCCTCCAATTCAAACGATTAGACCAAAGTGATCAAGGCGATCAGGTGAAATAGCCCAAGTTACAATTGTCATGAAAAATTCCTATTCTGTCAGTAAAACCTTCACTGGTCTTATACGGATCAAGCTAGGAGAGATTGAACTTATAATTGAATTGGGAGGCGGATGATTTAGATTGTGATCAGCAATTTGTTCCCGAAATGTCGCTATCAAACTTTAGAAGCTATCAACACCATCGATTTCCATGCATTAATATTCCATTCATTGGGATGTGTTTATTCGGTGTTTGTTCAGCTGCTGTTATCTATGTGCTATTCCTATGCGATCGAATGCGCGCTCAATGAAGCCTTCGAGAATGGTGTACTGAAATGATCGCATGTTCCTACCCCACAGTCATATTCTGTTGTCTGACGCTTGCTTGAGCATAAAGTGGATTTACTTTTGCGCACGAAATCGTAAAGAAATCTTGAATAAAGTCGTTTTGTTTTAATCGATTTTAGAAACGATCATGTGCCAGCCACTCCAATAGGTTCGAAGTGAGATCGTATGATTTATAGGCGCTGTTGATTAATGACGAATAAATTTTCAGTTTCATAATATTTTTTGCTATTAGTTGATTAATTTTTTCGCACAAAATGGTCATCAACAACAAGAACGCTCTGTCGGCAGTGATGGAGAATTCGATGAACACATTTGATAGATACAAAGTAAAGACTTTTTCATATCAATGGCCCTTCTTATTCGGAGATTCCTCTGACAATTCATCCAACGAAACGAAATATAATATTCCAGTAACATCATCTAAACGTTTATTCAGATTAATGATACTAAACCTTGAGAATGTTCATACATCCGAAAGCCCTTTGAGAAATACGCTTTGCGTAAGTGAACTGCATTGAGCTGAAACTGAAGTTCAGTCACTAAATGGAAGTTCGCAAGAACTCTATTCAAGAGAATCTAATCCAAACAGTTTCAGTTAGTGGGATGGTTTGTGCTTATTTGTAATCTAGCAATATTGGCGTTAATCGTCTATATTGATCATGGTTTCGTTCGATTCGCTATCAATTATTCACTAATTTCGCTGTTGAATTTGATCGCAATTATCTGCACGATATTTGCATTGAAAGATCAAAATGCCGCCATGCTTTACCCAATGCTTGTGTCTCTAGTAAGTTTCATTTTTCATCTCACAAATATTCACTTATGAACAGCTTGACTAGAAGTAGAAACATGCTGGAAGTACTTAATTTAGTGGTATAACAAAATCCGTGGAGATTGCTCTCTGACCTGAGGCTGGAAGATCTATCTCAAAGAGCAATATCATTGTACCCAGATATTCTCATGATATAGGGAACCATTTTAGTTTTTTCATTTGCTCACGCACAGTTTCATTGGAAATCAAAATGCAATATGAATAGCACTAGTTAGTTTCATACGGGAACAATATGACCGAGAGCCGAACGTAATGTAGTTTCACGCTTTCTTACTAAAATTTCAGGTGTTTTTCATCATAATACCGTTTTCGTTATGGCTAATTGCGACTTTGAGTGCAATCTATTGTACGTTCAACTCGCATTCTCACCATAGCAAGGATCCGGATGAAGCATACCTTTTAGGCGAGTCATTAATTTGGTATTATTTCAGTCTTCAATTCTGCCTAACATTTTTTATTTCCAGTGATAACAGTAACTAGTCATAAAAACTGAAGAATATTTGAGGAATAGCAATAATATTTCTTGTCGTTTCGATTTGAGAATTACAGTGGCACTCCACGACATTATTCATATCCTTCCGTCAGCATTCCGTAAAGAGCAGCTTTCTACGTTTGACCAACAAAGTTACAGAATGCACTGAACAGGATCGCGTGCCACTTCCTCTGAATCTACTCTTATTGGGTTTGGCTATCGAGAAGACGTTTGAATTCGTGTTATTCCGTCGTTTGATGAAAATGTTCGAGCAACAAAATTACATCGATCAATTTTCGCAGACCATCAACAAAGCCACCTTGAATTCGGCTAATGATACAGATGACGAGGTATCGACAGTTGTTGATAACTTTTTCGAGAACTGCAATTGCTCAGGTTGCAATCATCGGAAGCAACAATTTTTTGGAGAGTTTTCTGTATACAGCACAGATGTTTCAGACATTTTATCTACGAATCCTCAGTTTTTATGAATGATTCCAAATATTTTCCCATCGATTGAAAAGTGGAATGTGTGGTGGCATAAAGCGATTTTGTGAAGATAAGGTACAGGTGTTTAGGTGCAATTCCAAATTTCATGACAACTAGGAATGATTCGGAATGTATGAATGAGTGAATTCAGTTAATGAATCAGTGGGTTTTCTGGTCGATTACACTCAATTACTAAAGAATCCGTTAACTGAAGCGGTGACAAATAGTGCTTGATTGCAGATAGTAGTTTTCGAGAAGGTTGCAAAGAATGGTGGTCAGTCGGCGATATATGATTACGGTACACAACGACCGTCAGCATGAGAGTGGAGTTCAGTACGACGGATTAATCGAATGATTACTTAAATTCTCGTTTATTTCGTTTCATTTCTGATTGTGTCTCAACGTGCATGCGCTTTAAATTCTGTTGATTTGTACGTCATGAAGCCAAGAACGGTTGGAGAACAAACGAAATTGTGGAAACAGAAATATATTTTGAATTTTTTTGTCCCTTCTTTCTTTCGTTCAATTGTATTATAGAACAATCTCAGTCATGCGCTTTTCGGCTTCTCGGGTTCTTTTTCCTTCACTCAAAAGTGCCTTTTTTTCTTCTAAGAACCTGGAATCTTTGAGCGCGAAATCTTTTCGATACCAAAATTTTGGGCCGGCAGTTTCAATTAAACGTTTGCTCACTCCTCGGATCCAACCATCGTGATCTATTGATCTGCGATCTATCAACGTGTGAGTCAAGCATCAGATCTGGTTATGATCACTTGTCGATGGAAATTTGAAGAAAAGTTTTGGGCTGATGAGAATGCCTGCCACAAACTCTTGCCTCTCCCTGAACGAACGTATCCAGCGAACAGCCATGGAACCATCATGTTAGATTACATTTAGATTTCTGCTCCTGAAATCTCCTCAACAAAATTCGTGATTTTTCTACTGGAACACTGCGTTCATATGACAAATAAGTGCCTTACAATTAACACTTGATATTCATTGATATATTTCCTCGCATTCAAATCATCCTCCTAATTCCATATATTGTTTATTTCATTGCCTTCATACGGTTACGATCAATAAAACAATTTTCACGAGCTGTACAGTCTTTTGCAATTTTGTTCAAGCATTACAGAACTTCGGAAGTTTTCAGTGCAGTGAACTATTACATTCCAAACGAAGCGAGTGACAAAATGTCATCTAATCGAGTTGATCTGCGGAGTGATCATTTCCCTTGCTTATCATTTATACAACTCATCGATAATGACCTGAAAACACGTATCAGTCAAGTTCTACCATTGTAAGATGCAAATAGATTTTTAAAAAAGTGGTGATATCGAAGGAGGCAAACACTCCGAATTGGTAAAATTTGGGATGTTCATAGTTTTTAAGATGTACAAGCCGTAATCAATTACAACTTCAATATTATAGCTTATACAGTCTCAGTGCAGTGTGATCTCAGAGTAATTTCATAAAGGGCTACACAACTTCGAACAAAATGGTTGAATATTTTCACAATTTGTTGAAAACTTCAAATGTCTGAAGTTGAACGTCTCACTGTACGAATTGTATTGATGGCACAAAATTTTTGCTTCAAACCGACTAATTGAATCG